AGTGGGCACACACCTCTAGGCAGTGCAACAGTGATCACAGATCATCTGAACATTAATCAAGTGGAACCCTTTGCTGTTGATGAATTCTGTAGGATTGTGATACTGCTGTGTCAATGCCACATTTGTACCGTTGATGGCACCCTTTTAGTGGAGGAACACAGCTACATTCCTGAATCCTAAAGCTCCCTGCAGCATTGGTCTTGTCATGGCAGACTGCAGTGAACCGGTCCGACCTTACACAGATGGCATCAGTCACTGTCCTGATGTATTTGTGGGTGTACTACCGAGAGATCCCACACATCAAGATGGCAGCACTGGCAAGGTAGGCAGCTTTTGGGCTCCTGGATCCATCTGTTCCAGACTGGCCGCTTACTCCCCCTGCCCTGCTGACATCTTGAGAGGGGCAGGGGGAGGTGATGGCCTAGCGGTATTATCACTGGACTGTTAATCCAGAGACCCAGATCATGTTCTGCGGACCCAGGTTTGAATCCTGCCAGGGCAGGTGGTGGAATCTGAATTCAATAAATGTCTGGAATTAAGAACCTAATGATGACTGTGAATCCATTGTCAATTGTCGGGAAAAAAAAAACAATCTGGCTCACTAATGTCCTTTAGGGAAGGAAACTGTCTGGTCTGGCCTACATGTAACTTCAGACCCACAACAATGTGGTTGACCCATAACTGTCCTCTGAGCAATTAGGGATGGGCAATAAATGCTGCCTGGTCAGCAACTCCCTCATCCCATGAATGAATAAAGGAAAAAAAAACTCCCTTCTTTCCTTAAACCTTTTGTAGTCTTTCTTTATCATCATCTTCTTCCTGTCAGTGGTGCGGAGAAGGTGACGTTACAGAGGAGGGTGGTTGGAGTGGGACTCTTGGCCAGGCAGTAGTGGCATGGCCTGGCAGCGGAGATAGGGACTCCTGGCTGTGGTGAGACCTGAGCAGAGACTCCAGGCATTGGCAAGGTGGCAGCTGCAGAGGAGGCAGTGACTCCTGAACGTGCCAGGCCTGGAGCAGGGACTCAAGATGTCGGCAGGGTAGCAGCTGAAGTTGTGGCGGTGTGGTATGCCGGGAGCAGGGACTCCAGGTGTCATCGAGGTGATGGCAGCAGAGCCAGGGATCTCCTGGTTGTGGGGTGAGTACAGGTCCAGCACGGGACCCAGCATCGGTGAGGTGGGCCCAATAACGAACAGATGGCACCTAACAAGTGGTGATTCCGGTTTTGGTGAGTCTGGACACAGGCAGCGGTGTGGTGGAGCAGGTGTTGTTAGTGAGCTGGCTCAGGGCTCAGGACCCATGGTAAGCCACAGAACGATAACAGACTAACTATTTCAGCTGTATCTTTTTATTCTTAAACTATTTGAGGTGACGATCGATTGTGGTGACAGTTGAAGCTTTTCACTGTATTTTACTGTGTTATTCACTGTAAATTAGAACTGACAATAAATCATCATTGATTGATTCATTCACTGGTCACTCATTATTCTCTGGAAGGAGCAAGTCACACAGCAGTTCAACAGCTGTCAGCTTCACAGTTACCACTAGAGGAGGGCCTGCTACTACTATAGTCCTCAGATCTCGTTCCAGCACTGTTTCATCACAGTAACCCTGAACATACAGAGCCTGCGTTGGCACTGTGCCTCACTCATCTCCAGGAAATGGATTTAGCAGTGAGAAAACTCTGGGCATTCTGGTCACCTCACACATTGTGAGATGCCCCGTAGCAGTGACCTCTCCCTGAGCTAGGTACTATTTGGCTCCAAGGTGGCCTGCTGCTGTTCCAGGGCTTGCCACTGGCCTTGTTCCTGCTGCATCTGCCTTTACCTTCACAGGTAGTCAGCCACAGTGACCAAAGTCCCAGCAGCGGCAGGGCCCAGGACTCTCAATGGAGAAGGCCTGAAAGAGTTCCTCTGATCTCAGAGGAGTCAGTGTCATACCCTACAGATGAGGTTGAGCACACTACACCACACACTGAAACATGCTGCACCCTTACAATGAGAAACATGTCTCCATTGATGCAGCATTCCCTCTCATTTTCTTAGTAGCTGTGTGAGCCTCTGAAGCCTCTGCATAACAGCAACTCCCAGACCAGAAGTCAATGCCATGATTGGTGTGCTGACATCAATCACCGTGTGCAGAATACTGGAGTGGTTGTGCGTGCTCGCAGCCATACAGTTTCAAGGGAATATTGCTCAGACAGTTCCCCTGACCTTTAGCAACCAACTGTTGTAAAGCCCTGGACAGTGTACGGTCTGTGCTTGTGAGTGATATTACCGGGGCTCACAACCAGCAACTACCTCCCATCCCTGCACTGAGGACTAAGCCTCACCCAGTTTTCAACACGGCCATTGTTTGATTAACATGCAGGATCTTTGCTAGCACATGTTGCAGGTGTTAGATGGACATCTTGGTCTGCTGCACAGCAAGACAATCCCACATCCCAGAGAGATACCAACTAAGAAGCTATCTGTTTGTGTGGCTGTGCAAAAGAAAAGATGGAAGTCACATGATGGCACAACTGTAGATTAAACTGTGACAGACAACTAGAAATGGAATAAAAACAGAAAGTGCTAGAGAAACTCAGCTGATCTGGCAGCATCTTTGGAAAGAGAAACAGAAACAGCAACACTAATTACCTTTGCCTCTGATTGCAGCACCAGTGCGCTAAAAGCTATTGCAAGGTAAGGCAATGCAAGACATGGATGCTGTGATCAAGTAGATAGATGCTAATTATGTGAATATTAAGACAGCAAGCGAGCAGCCTTATAACACAGCCTTGTCCAATCTGTGAGCTGGATGCCTGCCCCTTCGCGTAAAGCATCCTTAAGCAGCTTTGCAATGCTCAATGCTGATCTATCCTGCAATGCAATGCAATGTCCTGCAATAGGTGCTTTGTGAGCGACCTGCCTGGAGAAGTGCCTTAAAGTGTTGGCAGGTTCTGAAGGCCAATGTCTGTGGACAAGGGGTGCATGTGCCTGGTGCCTATGAATTGGTCCCAGATGACGTGAAGATGATTCTAGAGCCAGGGGCGAGCTGAATCCTCCAGGTCCCTGCTCTTGTTTCCACGTCTGATTTCCCCAATGTCTAACCTTTTTCAAGAATTTAGTAAGGTAGAAAGCTGAATATTAACAAGGTGAATTGTGCCATCAACAAGGCATTTAGCAAGTAATAATCCCCCTGGTTGCAACTTGCCAATGCCTGGTGAGGAACTCACTACACTATGCGTGAAAAGCACAAAAGACAGAGGAGTTGCCCCACCATCGAGATAGGTCTCATCGGACTTCTCATCCAATCCACATATCTCACGACTGCCATATTACTTAGACTCCTACAAGATTCTGCACATAAGGATAAAAAAAAATTAATGAAATAAATTCCATTTCTAGTTAAATAAAAGCAAAATAGTGCAGAACAGTTAGAATGGAAAATTTAAGTTCTGAAGAAGTCATATCAGACCCAAAACGTTAACTCTGTTTCTCTCTCCAAAAAGTCATGCTAGATCAGCTCAGTTTCTCGAGCGCTTTCTGTTTTTATTCCATTTCTAATTGTCTGTTACAAATTAACTTCAGTTATGCCATCATGTGACTTCCATCTTCACTCTACATGAAACTTGAATATCTTTGTTGACAGTTTGCTGATTGTCACTAACATAGGCTCCCACTGACTTCAAAATGGACCTTAGACCTTGAAACCTATGCCCAAGCTGCATTGTTGAAGGTGACGTCTTTTGAATGAAATATAAAATCAGGCTCCTCCTCCTGGGTGGGCACGAAAGATCCCATAACACTATTCTGAAGAAGTGTGGGTGAGTAATTCATCATGCTATGGCTACTATTTAACACTCAACTAACACAGCAAAAACAGATTATCACATTATTTGGGTACCCACATGGGCCCTAGTAATGCCTGTCTCTTCGTGGGGTATGTGGAACATTCCTTGTTCCTGTCCTATTCCAAACCTCACCCACAACTCTTTCTCCAATGTATCGATGACATCATTGGTGCTGCTTCCATCTCTTGTCTGGAATCTAGAAGGACAAGGGCAGCAGATAGATGGGAACACCACCACCTTCAAGTTCCACTCCAAGTCACTCACCATCCTGACTTGGAAATATATCGCCATTCCTTCATTGTCGCTGGGTCAAAATCCTGGAATTCCCTCCTTAATAGCATTGTGGGTCAACTCACAGCAGGAGGACTACAGCAGTTCAAGAAGGCAGCTCACCACCACCTTATCAAGGGCAACTAGGGATGGGCAATAAAAGCTGGCCGGCCAGCCAGCCAGGCCCACAGCCCAGAAATAATAAATAAAATGATGAGGGACACTAAAATATGATCACACTTACACAGAATGTAATTTGTAGCCTTGGTTTCAGCAACGGGAAAGATCAGCTCAGAAATGGCATGAGGGGAGGAAAATACAAATTTTGTGTTAATGCAGATTGGGATCTAGGAGGAATGGGTGGTTTCATGGGCAGGAAGTGGGACTTCAGTAGAGGTAGTTAACGGGCAAAAGTGACAAAGAAGCTGAAAGGTTCCTGGCCCTTGTTGGATGTGAAGTCAGACTAAGCAAGAAAAGAATGTTTGTTTGTGGGAAAGGAGGCCAAACATCACCTCTACATGCATTTGGAAAAGTGAATGTCCAGTCTGTGCTCTCAATGATTCTATATTCTGAAGCAGCAGTCTAGGTTGGCTTCCTTCCAACACAATTCATCTTAATATCACTGACATGACATTTATTAAAGATATTTTTTGCATAATACCAGTTATTTGCTTCTAGTGTATGAGCTTATTAATCAGATGTAGTAAGAATATACATTTAAATATACAACAGTCATCTTCTGAACCAAAATGCAAGACCTCATTCAAATAACTTGACTGAATTGTTCTGGGATGAAGAATTTCATAATTAAGTATAGATTCAAATTACATATTTGGCTCATCATGGTTCCAATATTTTATATGTGTGATTGAACACATTGCGAAAGAATCATACAAACCTGCGTGAGCCAAGCATTTGTTGTCATTATCTGTTCCCTCTCATTCTGGAGAAAAATAAAAATGACATAATTATATCTTCATAAATCATTATAAATCACACATACAAAGACACATTCATGTGCATCAGTAAAGTGTTATGATATAATTAAAACTGAAACATCAGTAAAATATCATTTAATAGATGAATTTAATGTCATCATTTAAAGTGCTATATCAGGAAAACCCTGTGTCTGGTTGATTTTCACTTTTACTTTCAGTGCAATTCATCTAATATCATTTCAGCAGCTCTGCAGATTGTGGAATTTTAAGCACAGATGACATTCAGTGCCAAGAGAGTTACTGCAATCATCCACCTTAGTTTTACAATCATCACATGAGAAATAGGCCTGCCCATGAAGCTAACCATGTCCCTAAGGGTGAGTTAATTATCACTGCAGGTTTATGCTACTCATGCTTATTCAAAGGAAGTACCAAAATTAGAAGGCTGTTTGAACCCCTCCCCTTATCCCCACAATGGCTGAGAGTGAAAATAAGCTTGTAACTGAAGAGGGAAATGCACAGCAAACCATGAATAATGACATTGTACCAATCGCTCTTCAGTGGACCTGGTATTTGTTAAACTCGTTTCACTCAAACTGACTCCTCTGGTGCTGTCTTTCCTGCCATTGCTGGTCACTTAAGACACCAGGTGTGTATGGAACAAAACGACAGTTTCATTGGCAACGAAACCCGGAGCAGAGAGATATCCTGACTCTGAAGTACCCTATTGAGCATGATATTGTCACCAACTGGGCTCGGATGGAGATAATCAGGTATCACACCTTCCAGAGATGCCACTGATGAACAACTAGCCTTGCTCACAGAAGAACCCTGAACTCCAAAAACAACGGAGAATAAATGACATAGGTTGTGTTGGAGACCTTCAGTGGCTCTTCCAGGTTAGGCTCCCACTCAGGCTCTGCTGTCCCTGTATGCGTCCGATAGAACTATCAGCATCATACTGGCATGGGGATGCTGTCCCCAAACTGTACCATCACAAAGTTTACGCCCTGCAACCCTCCCTCCATGTGGATTGTCCAATGTCATAACCTGACCAACCATCTCATGAAGACTCTGACAGAACAGGCTAGTCTTTCATCACCAGACAGGAGACAGAAATTGCCTGTGATATCAAGAAGGAGCTCTGTTATGTCCCACGGGACTTTGAACAGGACATGGCCACTGCTGATTCCTCCTCCTCGCTTGCAAAGAGCCATGAACTAACTGTATGATAGATAGGTAATCTGCATTGGCAATGAGCAATTCAGGCATCCAGACACCTTCACACTTTTCTTGGATCTGGAATTCAATGGTACACCTGAGACTACTTTCAACACCATCAGAAAGCATGACAATGACATCAGGAAGAGTCAGTATCCAACCTTCTCCTATCCAGAGCAACCACCATGTACCATGGTATTTGAGATAATGGCATGTCAAAGGAGGTAACAACGCTCTCTCCAAGAACATGAAAATCTACATTATTTCCCCACCTCATTGTAAATACTCAGTGTGGACTGAAAGTCCCATCCTGGTTTTTCTCTACAGCTTCCAGCAGATGTGAATTAGCAAGCAGGAACATACTGAATCTGGCCATTTCATGGTGAAGCTCAATTGCTTCTAAATGGACTGTCATGATGATTGCATGGGATAAACTGTCAGGGCTTTAGTATTTGTCTCGTGGATAAAAATGGAATTGAGAAAGTGTTTGTGTTACTTTTGGCAATAAGCATCCCAGAAGTTCTGCAATCTGTTCAAGGACTAAATTATACATGTAGTTCCTCCAAATATTAATGTAAAGGCTTGCATTTTCTAAGATTATTAAATTCTCTGCCTTAAAAAGTCCGCCCAAAAGGAGGAGCAAATCCTTAGCCTTGCATATTATTGCCTATACGTAAATCATATAACCACAAAAATGTCTTTGATGTTTAATGAAGATCTGTAGCTTGGGTAGTGGTACGTAAATGGGGTCTATTTCAACATGTTTGTTAATTGCATTGGTGGCTGAAAACTAGGCCTCCAGGAATTCTCATGCTTGTCTTTATCTCCCTTGTCCTAGTACCTAGTACAATTTGACTGGGATATGTCGAAACTGACCCCATCAGCTACCAACTACCATCAGCTACGATACAAAACCAGAACCAAGACTGCCCACCATGACAGACCGGACCATATAAATTCAGAGCGGGACAGAACAACAGCGCTTCAACGGAGGCTACACAGCACTGACGATGTCACCTGGAAGGGAGACGAAACGTTTGCATGAAAACCAGTCAGCTTGGCGAACCAACCAACAACTCCAATAAAAATGTCTTGTTTCATACTTCCACCTTAAAAGGTTTTGATTTCTGTACGTAAAGATTGATCTTTACATAATCACAAGTGAGATTTGCACCACCTGGAAAGAAGATAGACCATTTGAAACCTGGTGATGCCAATTTGTGGAACCCAGGCTGACACATTATAAAATAAATAAACAAGGACACTAATAGGCACGCCAAAACTGCCGAATGTAATTTTGTTGCAAAATACAGAAACTGACTCCTGTACTTACATATAACTAGAAAATACTTATGTTTATTTTAACAAAAGCATTAATTTAATATTACAGTAGCAATCACCATAGTTCCACTTTCTCATTTGAGAGAGAGATGACCGGCGGTGAGTTTAATCTGAGGGCCACCGTGCCTCAAGCAAGGGAAGAGGTTGAGAAGGCAGGACCTTCACTGTAACCTCAGTTCGTGCAGGAGTTAAACCTGCATGGTTGGTATACTCTGCATCACAAACCAGCCATCCAGCCAAGTGAGCTACACAGAGATGATGGGTTGAGCAATCTAAAATGCACTTTTTGTGATCGACACCCATTTTCAGCTGTATAGAAGTAGCATTATCAAATATATCAAGGAATTGTTTGTAAAGAAGAATATTTATCTTTTGAATAATTACATTTTGCCCAATTATCTGTTTCATACAGATTTTGACTTTGAATTTGATGATATGCAAATCAGTTCAAGAGGAGATATGGACAGAGGGGTGGAGCCATCATACTACATGTAAAAAGCCATGAACATTATGATCTGATTTTCCCATCAAATCTCAAGGAGATAGATTGTCAAATATTGATAAAAAAATCTCCTGGATGTATCTTAAGAATTCCACAACCTCCATAGCTTTTACACAAATTATCCCAGGTAATATTATATGCTCCAAGGAGATGACATCTCATTTTTCTAACTACAAGGATACAGAAGCTAATTGCATTCTTTTTCCCTCCTACTAGACAACCCATAGACTCAGGAATTAGTCTCAATGCAGCAACTTTAAGGTAGGGACATCCTTCTTTCGGTAAAATAGACTAAAACCATACAGCTGTGGTCTCACCAAAGCACAATGCAATTACAGCAAGATTTTCTTTTCTTTATACATCACAACCCTTGCAATAAAGGATAATACATTATTTTTCCTGTTGCACTGGGGACATGGCACCAGAATGCATTGACCTCACTTAACATTCCAGCCATGTTGTTAATATTGCATTTTGCAATACATTCTTAAAAAGTTGTGTTCATTTACGCATCACTATAGCATTGTTTCAACTAAAACTGCATGCACTTACCACACTTATTAGCTGTGACAAGGACACTTTTATTGCAATGGTGACAATCTCACTGCTGTTTTTTGCAGGTCTGATGAGTCTATTGTAGCGATCCGGATGTAAAAGATAATTAGCTAGCCGCTCTTCTGCATTTTGAGGCAGGGCACCTATAAAGAAAATAATTCAATTTGAACAGCATTTTCTTTTTATTTGATTTTTAAAAAAACATGTCAATAATGGTACAGAATTTCAAAACTGACGATTTGGAAATTAAGGTTTTGGAGTAGATCTGTAGCTCGGGTTGCGAGTGTTGTGAGCTACAGATCTACTCCAACGATTTGGAAATTCTAACTGTAACATTTTCATTCCTATTTCAACTGTAGCAGGGTAATCACATGATCTTAAGGAGCTCATATGCAAAAAACTCAATGATTTGAATTGGCATTTGATGACTACACTTACTAATGTGACCAACGATATTTTTAGTCCACATAACATTGATGCTTACAGCGAGAGTTTGATGAAGCAACTGCTCATTCCTTTTTGTATGTCACTTGAATTTTCTGATTACACGTTTCTGGAGAGATTTCATTCCAGTCTTTGTTTGTTGATGGAGGATACTAAATCCTTAAATAATTATCAAAATTCAGTAATCTTAACATCATTATCAGAGTTTCTAACAACCATGCTCTTGACATGGCTGATGGTAACCAATTATACGTCTGATGCCAATGTATTTCCTGTTAACTACAGAAGTGTATGCATCAGTTAGTCACGATTTCCAAGGTTTTATAAGGACTGTGTCTTTTAATTTTATGTCTTTAAAAACTGCAAGCAGAACAAACTGTTCTTTAAACAGGTACTTACCAGAACTGCTGCATAATTTCACAGCAAGAAATCCAATATTTATTGTGAAACTCTGTTTTTGTGGTTTTAAGTTCCTGCATTATGCAGATGATCAGGAGCTTTCATTTGCAAGTGAAGCTGATTGTCTCTCAGCCAACTGGGCATGTCGTAAATCAAAATAAGTTACAGCATCACAGACACACAGAGAAAAAGGTACAGAAGGGTGTACTGTTGTTCTTCCCAGCAGAAGCAGGCTGTTCTCTGCAGCAGAAAAACTCTGCTTAAACTTGAAGTAAACTAGTTACCTTTCCTGCAGCAGATGCTCTGAGCTGTGATTTTTGAATTGATAAATCAAAGACATTTTCCAAATGAATCAGTCACTCTGTGCTTCTTGCAAACCAGCAGAAGCTTTCAGAGAAAGACAACTGAACACCACAGGCCTGGTGAGCTGATGTAGAATCATTTCAATACCAGAATTGGGACGCAAGGACAACTGAATTGACTGTCCAGTTTTTTTCCACCTGAGCCCAATATTCTATTTTACTTATTTGTTTGTCTGTGTGTGTGGGTGTGTGTGTAAGTAAGATAGAGTGTATAAGAGGATTACAGTTTTAATTAGTAGTGTAATAATGCAATGGTTTACAATAAAATTTGTTATTTAATACAGATACCTGGTCCATGTTTCCATCAAATGTATTCTAAAAGTCAGCTTATTTGGGGCTCAGTCTACCTCTCAAAGCAAAACTTTACCGTTTGGTACAACTCTAGGAATAGCGGGACTCAATTTACAGTGCAGTACCCCAGTGCGTTGCTAACAGTCTCCCAAACTATGGTTCACCACTCCTTGCAGAATTCAATAAGTTCTCAAAGCACCAACATTCCAATCCTCAGACTGGTCACATTTACATTTACTCTGAATGAGAACAGGCAGTTTACTACATGATTGTGCATTTTGCTGACCAAATAAAAGGTCCTCAAATTGACTTACATAAAGGTCTTCACAGTCAGCAGAGGTAAAAAAAACATTGTCATCTCTGTTATGGAATGACCTGATATGAATTGTTGAGAAACAAGTGTCTGGTACCCTTTGACAATGACAATGCACAATGCAGCCATCCATACAAAATGTAAGGCCATCTGTTTCCAAGATAGTGTATGAACAATTTTTCTTCCCAAGGTTCACACCTACAGAGTAAGAAAAGCTGCCATCACTGAAATATTTAAGTCCCATTTTAGATTATTTCTATTTGATAGTTTTCACCATCAGGTCTAATATATGAGGAGATCATGCCTGGTTTAGTTAGTGCTGTCCTTATAAATCTTGGTGGTATTTGGATAATAGTCTGTCATACGGACACAATTGAAGCAGAAGCAGATTATACAGGAAGCAGTAAATGTGCTAACTCATTGCATAACCCATTTCTCCATTCGTGTTTCATTCGAGATGAAAAAGTCAAAGGTTTTTGCTTTATATAAGGATGAACAGGAGATAGAAAATCTTGTGGTAAATTTGTTTATATCATAATTTTGTTGAAGTGGACAAACCGTTCTTTTAGGGTGCCTGATCAGTTTGACAAAGATTTTGGAATTACCATTAAATGGTGATTAGTCTTAGCTGCAGAGATTGTGCACCTCAATTGATAGTCTCTCCATTAGAGTCAGAGACTGCAGACTTGAGGGGTCTGAGAATGTATTACAGCATAGCACTGAAACCTAGAGGGAGAAATTGACAAAATGACCATATCAATAGAAATTCCAAGGATGTCTCTCTGGTTTGATAGGTTAGCTGGGTGAAGAGATCTTAATCCCAATGCTTGAAATAACGTTTGAAAGCTAACAGCTTTAGAAAGATTGAAAGGGGATGAACACTGACCATCCATGACTTATGACTCAACTGAACGAAAAGTCAGCAAGACCATTCCAAAAGAAGCAGCTTAAATACTGGGAACATTATTCCAAGATGACGGCACAGTAGGGCTCCTGAGCTGAAGCTCATCTGCTCCAACTGCTTTTCGTTCTTCTTATCTCGCTTTCTTTGTTTCTTCAGTTTTTTTAAAGTTTATTTTCTCTCTACTCACCTTTTAGAGGGAGCTTGGTTGTGAAGGCAGCAGCAGTGGCGATGGCAGCAGTTGGGGGCCCAGAACAAGGACTTTGCCAGTCAGCCACGAGGTGGTTGTTGTTCCCAGGCAGCAATCTGGCAGTTGATGGCATCATGGAAGCGGCTGGGGGCCTGAAGTGGCACCGGAGCAACACTCTGTTGGCTTGTGGCGATCCACAGTGACATGACAATGTGGAAATTAAGAAATTAAGCCTGGCACAGGACAGAGATCAAGCCCTCATGGGGAAAGCCCAGTGTGGAGGGACTGCAGGCCCATGGCTAAAGAAGGACTGTAATTTGGAACTTTTAACTCTATTCTTACTTACTACTTTATACTGACAAGAATTGTAACATTGAACTGTTAACTTATTTCTTTATTTTTCAATTCTTTACGTAAGATTTTGAGCCTAGGTACCTTGTACTTAAGATGGCGACATTGTAAAATTTTCACTGTACTCCTGTATCCCTGTGCTTAATTACAAGTGAAAATAAAACCTAGTTCTAATTCAAAGTTAATGAATGTCAGTGTAAATAACATTAACTTTTCTAGCAACAGAGGCCCAGAGCATTTATGCACTGTGCAGTGATTCTTCTAATAACTCAAACAGACACTTCACCATCTGTAGTTGCAGTGAAAATATTCTACATTTCACTGCCAACAGCTGACTAGCTGAAATAAAGACATCTGTAATTTTCAGGAACTACACAGGCATCAGCTGTATAAACAGCTGCCTTCAGCCACGTGGAGAGTATGCTCATCATAAATTCTGATAATGATTATTGAATTTTGATTGTTATTTATGAATTCATTATCCACAGTCAACGAATAAAGATTGGGATTAAAGATTTGAGGAACGTGTATTCAGAGGGTTCATGTGCCACATGAAAAGGATTGAGCTGTAGATTCATCAAACTATAAGGGTAAGCTTCAATGTTATTTGGACTAAAGAAATTGTCCAAGTTAACACAGAGACTTTCAAATGCCAATTCAAATAATTGAGTTTTATTGTATGTAAACTCTGTAAGATCATGCTTCCCTGAGGTTCTGTTGGTAGGGCTCTTACCTTTGGTTCAAGAGTCTGTAGGTTCAATTCTCATCCCAGGTCCTAAGTTGTATCAATGCAGAATAATAGCCCAGCAGGCTGCACTGTCAGAGCTGTCACCTTTTGGATGAGATTATAGATATTTTCTAATCAACCTGCTCAGACCTCTATAACAGGTGGGACTTAAACCCAAGCCACCAGGATCAGAGGCAGGTACACTACCACTGCACCACAAGAACCCTCTTGGAGGAAATTATAAACTGAGGCTCTCAGGGAGCATAATCTCTTACAGGAACGTAAGAGATATGAAGGCATTCTTTCAACCAATTATGGGAAAATTATGCCTAGTGTGGAAGCTGATATTCATCCCTTAGTCAACATTATAAAAAAAGCTCATTTTGATCATTATCTCAATGTTTTTTTCTGGGAGTTTGCAGTATACAAATTGGTGGTTGCATTTCCTACTATATAACATGACTGTGCTATAAAATAGTGCGGAGTGTCAAGCACTTTGGAGCACGTGGCTACCATGATAGATACTATATAAATTCAAATCTTTTTTTCTTTTACTAAGCGACTATGGTCGTTTACGCAGTGTAGTTGGGAGTTGCTCACTAGGGCCATGTGGAACCTGCATCATTGCCCACTCCAAAGAAATTGCTTGGAAATTGAAGATCCCACTGAGCAATTGCATTACATCTGGAACCCTCCTTATGCCTCCATTTAAATCAGAGAATTCAGATGCTCCTGCTGCAATTAAGTAAATAGTTACCCAGGAAACGTTAGACAATTAAAAAACCTAGTCTAATTCATGAGTAATTATTCAACTGATCATCCAAACCCCTTCCAATTTAACACATGCGTCTCCAAGTACACCTTCCCTGGATCTTGACCTGACAAACCTTATTGTCTGCCACTGGAGCTGACATCTCCCCCTCCTCTCGCACCCAGCAATCGCGAGGATCTGACATCAACTCTTCCTTTTGCAGGGCCAACAACTACTCTTTCCTTCGAATCAAACACCCTGCTTCCCCCCATGAACCTGAAACTGCGCCTATGCCCCCACTTCTCCCCCAAACCAGGACTCTACGCATTGCCTCCCCACCCCCAATATTCAGCAACCCTACATCTCCAGGATCTGACAACTCCTTCTCTGCCCAGAAAATGACACCCCACTGGG